GCCATTCCTTTCATATTAATGACACATGAGGTCATCAGATTCCTGAACTGAAGAGGCATGGTGCTGGAATGCCACAGCATCCACCTCTGGACCTGCAGACATACGGAGCACATTTGCCAAGAGGCCAAATGACACGGTGGCAAAGAGGAGTCTGCAGAGTTTGCAGATGCAAATCAGATAAAGAGAACACGTGACCTGTCCCAGCCTGCATGGCTCAGCCTTCCTGACAGAAGAATGCTTCGTGTCATCCCATTAGCCCCTTCAGATGTTCTTTCATTTGAGTGAGCAGGGGTTACATGTGCACACCAAATTAAAGAAAGGCATTTGTTAATGAGGGCTGATAGACAGAGGTGTGGATTTGATCCACTGACAAGGTTTTGTAGAGGTGACATGATCTTCTGCTAGATCATTTCTCTGTAGGTGTAGCTCATGTAGCACATGTTGGCCATGTCCTGCACTGAGCCAACACAAGGATATGTACTTCCAACATCTAGACACAGACCTCTGGAGCATGTGCCTGACACACTGCCAGTATTGCTTAAAATTCTTAATGTATGAGTCCAGGCACAGTTGTTGTAACCATCTTGCTGGTCAACTCTTTTTGCAAAATACACATTCTTACCACTTTCATGCATTAAAAGAAGTTATTTTTTTAAAAAAAGTGCTAGTGCTGGTGATAACACCAAAATTCAGAAATCATAGACTCAGTACATCTTCCTCTGCATGTTGTGTCCCACTTCATATCAAAAGATTGCAAATCACAAAATTTTAGACTATAAGAATTGATTTTTAATTCCTCCAATCAGCAGTTTCTCACCTTCAGGTTGTTCACAAGTGTCTTCATGACAATGGTAGTTTTAACAAGCTGTACCACAACCTCTTGAATCCATGATGCTCAGTTTCCTACAAATTTTTGTTTCATGACTGAATTCTCTGTTGTCTAATGAGATGCATGCTCAGGGTGAAGTATTTCCCATGACAGTGCCTTTATAAATATTTTCCTCTTGTTAGAATCTCTGGTATCTATAATGATTGAGATTACATCCAGTGTCTCCCACTGTGAAAGGACTAATAGGCTCCCCAGGTGGATCCACCTGACAAATATCATTCGTCCTCAGAAGAGCTGCCAAGGACGGAAACCCTGGACCACAGTGTAGCCTCGTTTGTTCAGCTTGTCTTTCAGGTGGCCAAAAGTTCATCTGCATGATTAAACAGTTAAGAGTTTTAAAACTGGTGCAACAGAATGTGTAAATTTCACTTACAGAAAGCAAGTCTTGTGAAAGGAAAGTGACATTTTCAAATTTGATGTGAACCATGCTATATTTATACCTCTCAAGCCCTACTTTGAATATTTTTTCACAAGCTACTGTACCAAGAAGGGCACATTTAAATGCAGCTGATGTATTTGAGTGATATAAGGTTTGCAGGATTTTCAATCTTTTTTATTTCATCAGGTGCATCCGCTTTTTAGGATTTGAAGTTTCTTACACCACACCTAATTTAGCCCACAAGGCATGGTTCCCAAGGCATTCCCAACAGAATGATAAAGGCTGTTCTTCATCTGTACACACAGATTACAATCTTTTCAAGGTACATCGTTATCCATTTGAATCCCAGGAAAAACTGTCATATAAAGTAGAGCTCCATTCATTGAACCATTAAGAGAGAGCCTTGTACCAAATTGTGGGTCACTGTGGGTCCTGCCTTGCTCTGGTGCTGTATGATAAGGACCAGAGTACTTAAATCTCCTGTGACTCAGCTGCAGTGGGAGGAAAATGTATTGCCTAGTTGCTGCTACAGCATGGATTTGTCTCTCCCTGAGCACATGAATATGCAGTAAATATCCACAGAGTCCCATCCAGGGGAGTGAGCCTGTTATTTTGCAATGGGCTGTTGTGGCTGTTTCAGGGGCACCTGAAGCCACCAGAAGGAAAAGGAATTAGCTGGGTACAGTGGAAATTTCTGCAAATGGGTCAAAGAGTAGTGCTGTTAACAGCCAGAAAGCAGGTGCACACAATGTCTTTTTTGAGTGGACGAACAGTGTCAATAGGCAGTCAAACCAGAGCAGCTCCACTGCTCATTAATTCTGTCTCTCGTTCCACCATTTCCTGTTCATTAACTCCCTCCTGCATTTACCCTCTCACTGGAGCACATTACTCAGACTCAATCATCTTCTCCAAGAGGGAAGGGTGTTGAAAGAAAAGGCCAGAGCAAGACCCTGCATTCCCCACCTCTCCCAAACTAGCTTTTCTGCTAGAAAGAAACCAAACAAGTATTTTACACTTCCTTGGAAAGATAAATGTAATTCAGGCTTAAGGAAGGTATGTGCCCTCGAGCCAGGATTTACCTTTGTGCTGCTTATTCTGTCAAGAAAACTTGTTTTGTTCTGAAAGGACTGTTTTACCCACCTCTAAATCTCACCTGTGCTCTAAATCTTTTAGGAAGAAATAAACACAAGAGTCTGGCTTTGTTTTAACTGGCTTTTTTAAGGAGGGCAATTTGTTTCTTCTTACTTTTTTGTAAGTTTTGATACTTTTTAAGTGGGACTGCTATGCTTGTCTGAGTGTAGTGGCAGCTTGATGAACTGAATGGAGCCACACACAGCTAAATTGTGTATTTGTTCTCCAAGAAAGACAGCAAATGGCTCCTGTTGATAGTTATCTGCTGACTTACCATGGTCCACGTTTCTCAGTGCTGGACCAGAGAAGTGTCATGTCTGGTCGCAGGCCCTGTCCAGCAGGGACAAGAGGCCAGAGAACCTTCTGCTACACCATTCTTCAGAAGAGAGTCAAGTGTAGCACATCTCTGCAGAGATGCCAAAGCTCTATGCAGGGGCAGAAGGGTTTGTGGGCTGGAGAGCTGACTTGCCTTGGCCACACAGCATCATTTTTCTGGGGTGATACAGAGCTGTCAGGGAATACAGTCTTCAGCACAGCTTTTTTATCCATTGCATTGATAGCCACCAGCAGTGGCAGTTTTATTAATTATTTCATCTCACTTATCCCATGTGTTCTTAGGCTGGTGTGCCAGGCTTGGACCTTTCACACAGAAATGCCGCCTGTGGCTTTGGGATGGTTCGATGCAGTTCTGCCACAAGGCACTGATTCACATCAGGCTCTCCATTAATGGCCCCTGGAACATGTGCCCCTAGCTGTAAACACCTTGGTGTAGGTGCACAGCCCATTCATGTCAGCTTTGCAGGAATGCCCTCAAAGCCACGCAGAAGAAAACAAGCAGCAAGGAGAAAAGGAATGCTGTTCACACATTCAATCAGTTTCTTAGGAGAAACCACATTCCCAAATCTTTCCTGGCAGTTCACTTTGCTTTATTCCAGGTGGCTCCTGTCTGCCCAGTCCCACACAGCTGTGGGGTGAGCACTTGGTGAGGAACACCCCCAGCATTTTCATGCAGTGCTCACTTTCAAAACCTCCGGGGATGGATGGGGGTGAAGAACAAAACCAAAAAAGCTGACACGCGCTGTTTAGGACAAACGGACTTGATTATGGGTCCTGGAGGCGTTATAAAAGTGACGGATTACAGGTTCAGCATTTCTGGGGTTTGAGCTGTCTGGCTTCCACTGTGCTTTCATTGTATCAGCTGCCCCTCGTTTCCTTGCCTTCTGCTGGAAGCGCTGCACTGGAGCACAAGTGAAGTGAAGCAGGCCCTAACTAGAGCCAACAGCTGCCTTTTGTTGCTGCTGTGGAAACAGCTGTGAGGGGTAATATAATCATGCTTCTGTGGCCGGTCAGCTGCATATCGTAAGCACCTTTCCCAGATTCAGGGGACCCAGAGGCAGCTCCTGTGGTGATGTAAATGCTAATTGGGCCCACAGCAGGCTATTTTGTGCCCCATTTGACATACTAAGCACTTGTTGTTCTGTCCCATGAGCATTCAGTTGATTGAACAGATATTCTTTGCCACCTTTAATACAATCAGACTTGTGTTTCATTCTTGTGCAGGAGAGGTCTTTGCACTGATTCCTGTCAGTGGAAGAAATGGTTTCTACACTCTTTGATATGTTTCTCATCTTTTGTGCAGTAAAGCTTTTCTGCGCTACCAGTCAGCTCAGAGTTCTCACATTTGGGGTGATGGATTTTTTCCTTTCTTACATATAAACAAGTTTTGAGTAGCTGTTGGGGGTTGTTCTTACAAAATCAAACTCACCTGGACTCACACCAGTTGTTTTCTGTCTGAGATGATTGATTTAAAAACAGGTTTGATGAAAAAATATGGAATAAGTCATAGAAGAAATCATGGGAAGAAAAATTTAACAGTTTATCATCACAAGTCACAGATTATAATGGGTTGGGTGCTATTTGAGTGAACCTGTAGTGGGACTGGAGGTGGTTGTTGTTAGAAACAAACACAGGAGTGTGTAAATACTGAAAACAGCTGAGCAGCAAAATTAAGAAAGTGGTCTGAAACAGTGTGCCTGAACTTTAGATGCTGATATTAATGTGTCCTTGGTCACAACAGTTAGCTGAACTATTTTAAACAGTTTTCCCCTACCAGGTCAACTCACTACCCTATTAAAGTACTTTAAAGCCCCACCTCAGACAGGGTTGTAGCTTGTCAGAAACTGGATATACTGAGTCTCCAAACATCCTTTGCACCTCTTTTGAGATAGCATTTTTTCTGCTGAGGTGGAGCATTATAATGTTTCCTTGGCCAAATACTGTGTTGGATGTAATCAGTCTATATCAGAACATTGAATGAGAGATAAGAGAAAGTGAGTGTTCATTGCTTTGGCAACCAGGAGAGCACATAACATGCCAGCTGCAGGTATGGCTACAGCAGGAGGTGCATCAAGCAGATCCATTATTAATCAGACATGGGAGGAGTGGCATTTAGTGTCTGCTCAGAAAAAAAAAATCAGGGAATAAATGTGTAAAACTAATTCAGAAACAAACAAACAAACAAGCCCCAGTTAGTACCTGTGTAAGTTTCTATACTGGAAGTCTCGAGTTGCACTTCATTAACTCTGCATTTTTATTTCCCAGGTTCAGGTTCAGCGGTCGTATTCTTGGCCTGGCTCTCATTCACCAGTACCTTCTTGATGCTTTCTTCACAAGGCCCTTCTACAAAGCCCTGCTAAGGCTGTGAGTACGACCCCACAAGCATGCACAAACAGCATCCCACAGGGAGTCCTACAGACTCAGACAGAGACCCTCGGGGAGCTGCTTCAAGCACACTGACCTTCTTTCTGCTGTTGGGTTGTTGTTCTAAGATAGAAAAGGAACACATTTTAATTTTACTTTGCTTCCTCCAAGAATTTGCCATTCATAAATACTATGTTGACAAAAATAAATAAGTATGACATTTAGAAGCACACATCAGAAAGTTCTGACACACAACTCCAGAGTTTACTACTGGTGAAAAGTTATTCAAAAGTTATTTCACCTTCAACCAGGTGGAAGACTGAAAAACATCCTTGATGGAATGAAACAAAATAATAAGGAAAAAAGGACAGAGGTTATATTAAGCAAAAATACATCGTTTGTCATGCCTCACTGGTGGATTAGCTTTGCATTCTAAAACATAACTTGGGATAATTAAGAATGTTCATGTAGATATAACCAGGGAATGATTTTTTGGTCTTCTCTTGTCTTTTATTTTAGTAAGTGTAAGCTACCAAGAATACATTATTTTCAATTTGAAGTTTATCAGGTTAATTTAGATTGACAATCAGTCCCTCTTTAATTAATAGACTGAAGTAAAACAAGGTACACAAAATTTTTGCAACAATAAAAAAACCTATAAATATTAACTGAAGACTGCAATTAAATGCTAAAGAGCAGAATAAAGCTTAGCTGAAACAGTTCATCAATTAAGATGATTCCAAATCAGCAAAGATACCTGCCTTAACAGTCCTTTAAGTTCTTTATCATGTTATTCTTTGTTGGGTTTTTAGGAACCATTATTATTGCTGGGGTACAAACACTCATATCTAAATTGTACCTGATCTAATCTGAAAATAGACTGAAACCTAGGGCTTTCCCTGCATCCTTACTGCCCCTTTAGGGAGTTGGAAACCAGGCTGCTCCTAACAAATCTGTCCTTTCAGCAGACAGGGATGGCTCCTTATTGGCAGAAATTTAGGCTTCCTGCTCTGCCCTGTGTCAGTGCTGTGTGCTCACCTGGCAGATGATAGATAATGGAAGCAGCCAGGCACAGCACAGTGAGGCTGAAGGGACACGTGTGCTATGAAGTGCAGAGCATCCTGAAGATCCGTGTAAAATCAAGCCCCAGGGGTGTCTTTTGACAGCAAATAATGCAGGCAGCCAACAGATTTGGCCTTGAGCCCAGCTATGCAAAGCAAACAGTTGCAGAACTGCTTCAAGAGGATCTGTAAAACAGCCTTTGATGTTAACAAAACTAAATGAACTTCAGTTTTATGTTGGATCTTCAGTAAATTTGTTCACACACTTAGTAGGAAATCATCCTGACAGTAGTCACAGGACCATATATTTTTTCTTGTCTTGCAATCAGGCCATGTGATTTAAGTGACTTAGAGTACCTGGATGAAGAGTTCCATCAGAGCTTGCAGTGGATGAAGGATAACAATATCACAGATATCCTGGATCTAACCTTCACAGTGAACGAGGAGGTGTTTGGACAGGTGAGCACAGCTATGCAAAACATCTGAAAAGCAAATTTGAAGCTGACAAAGTTGAGCATGATGAACATCTTTCTGTCAGAACAGATCCTTTAGCCTTTCAATTACATTTTCTTCTCCTACCTTCTGTTTCTTTCAAGCCACCTGTTCCAAGGCAGATGTTTATTCTTAGGGTGTATAATATACAATACCAGCCCCCCTACGGGCCTGTTGAGCCACACTCTGATGAACATGAGGAATTCTCTGGAGTGCAGCTCTTCTCTCCAGGGTGTAGTTCACACAGATGTGGCATTTGGTGAATGCAAGCAATGTAACTTCAAGCTGATGTGACTGAAAGGATAGGTTAGGAGGGGTAAAAAACATTTGGCAGGTGGTGTAGGACCTGGCAATCCTTACCACTATTTTGTCTAATATCTCCCTGTTAGATCCTGTGTCTCTTACTTACCTTGCACCTATTTAACAACTTGGTATGTACGTCCCTTTATTGCGCTTTCTGCAGCTCTACCTTAGTCAGACAGCTCTCTGTAACCTGGCTGATCACTATAGCCTTAGGGAGGGTGCAACACTGGCTTCAGTGCAGTCTGGCAATCAGAATAAATGGCTCCTGTGGGATTCTTTGGGTTGCACTGAAGCCCTGGTGCTCTTTGGTATTGCAAATCATGCTGGATTATAACTGTCTCTGGGAAGCCTTGAAGGGAATCAAAACAATATTCAGACCACGATTAAGGATCTCCAAGGTGATGCTGAAAACTAGAGAGGCTGAAGAACCAAGCTCACCAAGCTCTGCAGAATCTCAGGGGATGGAGATACCTTGTAAGGAACAGATACACAGGGTCAAAAGAAGCAGAGAAATCAGGTGGAATATGACCATTTATCTTACATGCATCACACCTGTGTGCCCTCACTGCCCTTTTGTGATTGGTCAATACACATCAGCATTCCATGTTTCTTTGCCCTCCATACTGTTCACGGGTCCTACACTCTTGTAGTCCATAGGGATAAGGCTCAGCTGCAGCTCCATTCCCAATCACCACAAACTGTGTATCCACAGGAATATCCAGAGAATGGCTCTCACCACTTGACAGTTAAGTTTCCTGGAGGGTTTGCACAAAGCTAGGGTAGTTCTGGGAGCTAGGGAAGAGTTTGACAAGTTTCTGAGGGGAGGAATTCCAGCCCTGCTTAGCTGTGAGGTTTAAAGTAACAGAAAGCAAGCAAGGCTTCAGGGAGTATATTAAAAACTGAATTTAGCCTGAGTATAGCAAAAGGTTACAAAGGATGAGCGGAGTTAAGGGTAGATGAAAAGGATGGGGCAGAAGAATTAAAGTAGGAAGCATCTGTAGGAGCAATAACACTGTTTTTCCACAGACTCAAATGCAGGAGGTTTTCATGGACTTGGAACTGAGAGCTTGCATGACATTGAATTGACAGTAAAGTGGTTTCCCTGGAAGGTATGGCTACATGAGACTAATACACAAAGGCAGACAGAAACATACAGACATATTCACAAAGGCAGATGAGACAAGTTTGTATTTACAAGGGTAGACTACAAAGTTGATAAAGAACTGAGTTGCTCTGATGCATCTGAAGGTAACATTTGGCACACTAATTACTTGTTATACTCTCCTCAAAGGAAAGAGAAAACAGTTACATAGGAGTCTGTTGTGGAAGATAAGAGATGGCTCCAAATAGAATAGAAAAAAATTACAATCTGTTTGGGATACTGTGGTATAAAAGCAGAATGCTAAAGGTTGGATTTTGATGCTGTTGTCTAGTACCTTTTGGTGCTGTTGTCTATGTACTGGACACTGACCTTGCTAGAACTAATAATGAGGAGAAAGGTTGCTTCTCACTGTGAATTACAACTGTCAGAATCCAAGTGTCCTAAGTAAAAGTAAGATTTTCCTCTTGAAATTTACTAAGTGCTGACAGCAAAATAACAAAGAATTTCAGTCATGTTTTATGCTCACAGATGGATGCTAGTTGGAAATTCTTCCATGCCAAGAGTATCTAACCACTTAAATGCCATCTGGGCATTGCTTTGCTTGGTACATGTGCAAGTGTAGATCACAGTGGGAACTCTGCTAATATTTGGGAAGATGGATTTCAAGGGCTGGGTAAGGAAAACGAGAAATAAACGGCCTCCTTGAGAAGCTGTATAGTGGATGGTTACAGCCCTTCTGTCCTGCTTCCACAATGACTTTATTATGGACCAGTCACTGCTGCTTTCACATTTTTTTGTCTCATCTTTGATGTGTATTGAACTTCTAAGGCTTTCAGGCCAAATTCTCTTTCTTGGTCCTTTCTTAAGGAGAATTTACTCCGTGTCAGTTCCAGCCTTCTTGTGTACTTGTTATGGATATGAACGAGGCCAAACTTTCTCCAGAGAAAGAGGTTCTCGTTTATTAAAATAGCTACAAGGAACGGAGTGCCCAGGATAAGCCCAGGCACCCACACAGCGAGCCAAAAACGAAAACAGTGTGCTCACCCCAAGTGCACTGGGTTCTCCCAAACAACAAGTACCCCAAAAAAACCGAAGAACCCCGACCCAAACGAACTCCCCACGTTTATAGGCCCCCTCGGGTCCAGGATTGGTGCATTGTGGATCCTCATGATGATTGGTCCATTTCCAGGCTTCTCATTGGTCTTTACCGCCGTTCATTCTGGAGCAATCGTTTCTGCAGGGCTTCGAATGATTGGTCAGATGTTTCATCCAATCTCTCTTCGACCTTGCCTTGCCCCATCAGACTCCTGTTTCACCAAACCCTGGACCCTTTTAGCACATTCTAATAAGCCACTCCCCTTTAACATAATACAAATAATAGAACATAATAATTACAATATAATTGAACTATATCCTATTTTAAATTAACTTAACTTTTACCTATAACATACTGGAACCCAGAGCACTCCTGTAACAGCGGTGATACAGTGTCAAATCAAGCATTACACATTTTTACTGGTGGGGGAATGACAATTTGAGAATTTCACTTATAAGACAGAGATGTGTCAGTTGCTTGTGACCCAAAGTACTTTCTCATGCTTTTACCCAGTAGAAAGTGTTCTTCCAGGCCTTACTCTGAGCTCTCTGTGGATACAGCCTGTCTCTGAGCCCTGGCAATTGTTCCCATCAGGTGAAAGGAATGAGCTACATTGGTTGAAATGTCTCCTTGTTACTCTGAACCCTGATTCTCAGTTGTAGCTCACAGCTGCAGTTAATGCCCCTAAGAACAAAATCCCCGAAATAGGGACACATTGCTATTGATTGCTAGCCTCCAATCATAGATAATTAATAGTATTTGAATTTATACAGATAATGAGAAGTTAAAAAAACAATAGTTTTTGAGGTGTTTGTGGGAAGTCTCGCAGGAAAGTTTGAACATCTGGAATTATGGTCATGCTTAAAGCTAGACAACATTTAGTCTTTGGATTGGCAGATACACCTTAATGCCCCACAGCCTTGAAGAATACAGCATGGTTGCTGGGCCAGAGCCCTGCTGTCTGGACAATGCAGCATTGCTTGTATAATGGTGATGCAATGATTTATGTTTGGGAATTTAACCTGAACCAGCTAAGAATTCCTAACTCCTTCCATCCAGCTTTACTTGTTCCTGCTGTTTCTCAAGTAAGCTACCGATTAGATGACTCAGTCAATGTTTCTTAATTCATAATATTGCAATAGGTCCCTCAAGTAAGGTGACCTAAATACTGGCTGTGCTGTGTGCTGTCTGCTGGGCTAATAAATAGATAATAATATAAATAATACTAGTAACAAATATGTATTCATACACTTCATTTACTGTCTGCGGTGGACATCATTGTTATAGCAGCAGAAAACTGAAGACAAGAGCAATGTATTCTTCCTTTTAAATCAACTAAAGTGAGTGTGAAAATAATTAAAGGACAAATATAATTTTATGTCATATGGGAGGAGAGCTATGTGCTTGCTGGGTAGGATCCAGATTGATTCCTTAAATCTCTTCTCAATCTCAAGACTTAGTAACCCAAACCAACTAAATTAACTATTAAAATGCAAGGAAATTCTGCAGCTCTTGCTTTAAATAAGAAAAAGTTATTTACAGTACAAACTCTTCTCAGGTTTGGATGGCTGATACAAAACTCTGAACCCCACAGTGACTATTTATCTGTGCAAGGTTGCTGTGCAGGTCTTGTTTTAGGTAGTGTATTGGGAATATTCATTTTATGATACTTTCTTTAGCTGTTTGCATTTCTGAGTAAACACTTTTACTAGCACTTGGGGAAGGGTAACACTTGTTGCCTAAGAGACAAGTAGATATCCCTTCCAGTTGGCAAAGCAGTCTGCCATCCCAGTACTGTGATTGCCTCTCCATCCTGTTGTTTCCTGTTCTGTGGCTTGGATGATCTCATGTTTGAAACACAACATGATCCATGCAAAGCTACACCACTGTTTATCTCTGTTCTGTAGGTGACAGAGAGAGAGTTGAAGTCTGGAGGGGCAAATACAGCAGTGACAGAAAAGAACAAAAAGGAGTACATCGAGAGAATGGTAAAGTGGCGAGTGGAACGAGGAGTGGTCCAGCAAACAGAGGCCCTGGTCCGTGGCTTCTACGAAGTAAGTGGCAAAGTGATGCTTCCACAGGCATCCCTCCTTCCCCTGAATGAGTAGCACCCTGGTTAAATGCTTCATTGGTACCCTAGAGAGCAACTAAACAGACACAAACAGCAAGGAATTGGAGCTCTTGGATCTCTATAGAGAGAGAACTTGGAAATAGCCGGTTAAGGATTAAAGGAAAAAGGAAAGAAATGTGCCTGCTGAATGTGATAAAGCATTACTTATGATCAAGAGTTAAGAATGGCACTCCTTTCCATTCACACAGTGAGAGAAGTAGGCATTTGCAAATTTTGTTCTGCCATGTTGTGATTTTGGGTGAGGATTAGGGGTCCCTGACAAAGAAAGATTGTGAAGAATTGTACACTTTGATGCAAATCTGATGAAACACACTGTGTCTTCAGGGATTTGTTCCAGTAAAGTCAGTCTGCAGGTGCAGTCCAAGCTTGCTGGTGGTATTCCTGGATACTGCTCCATTGCTGTCCCTGGATCTTGCAGTTTATCTTTGCTGAAGACCTGGATCTGAGAACATCTTTCTGGCAGAACTGTTACAAGGACTGGGTGAAAACCTGTGGCTTTGCTGACCAACCCATGTAGTCACCTATTCTTGCCCTTCCCTAATCATACACAAACATGTGAATGCAAACATTCAAACCTTGTCAGGATAAAGAGCTGGCCACCAGAACCATAGGTTTATAAGACTTTCCTTCATTTCCAGTCTGAACTGTGCTTACAAGTGGTTTTGTTCCAGGTTGTAGACTCCAGGCTTGTCTCTGTTTTTGATGCCAGAGAACTGGAGCTAGTTATAGCTGGCACTGCAGAAATAGATCTCAATGACTGGCGGAACAACACAGAGTATCGTGGAGGTAAAGTGCCTGCTCATGTTTACTGCTATCTTGACTGTTTCAGTCTAAAACATGGAAGTCTTGCTCCATCTTTTCTTTCTGTCTTTCCTGAGGGAAAATGCCCTATTTTGTCCAGGAAGTTATTGTGAAAAATAACTCCTGAAAAAAAAAAAGTAAGAGCTCAGGTGTTGTGGTGTTATACTACTGAAATTGCTTCTGCTTTTTCTATCCATATTTTATCTATTCAATTCCTGCAGAGTTAGAAGGAGTTTTGACCATTAAGGACTGAAAAGGATTTGCACAATTAGATCTAAAAGTTACAAATCATCTAAGATGACTGTGACTGAACTCTTAGCCTCACAGAAAGTAGTTCCACAAGTCCTCCTGGCTTTAGCAGGGAGCTAAAATCAGGAGCTGAATTTCACAGTTCCCAATTACATTTCAACAATGTACAGATCTTGTTTAACTGTTCCCTTAGCTTAAACTATGTCAAATTGGATTTTTTTTCCCTTCTCTGCTGCTTGGTCTGGTTTTGCTTTAAAGAATGATTTATCCAGGCTGTCTTGGATGATGGAAAAATGCAAAATCCACCACTTCTGCACCACAAGTGGAAAGTTCCTGAGGTTCACATATCCTCCCCTGAAATACAAGGTTTCAGTCTTTGCTGGTCACTGCCCAGCCTTTGGGTTACCTTGAAGTATGCAGCTTACCACAAGCACAGCTGGTCCCTAGTGTTATTCTCCAGCTACGTTTTTATATCTAAGTTTTGAAACAAATTCAGCCTGGTATATGCTGCCTCTCACTGGAACAAACCAAGGCTCGGAGCCCCTCAGGTGGGAAGTTTGCCAGGGAAGGACTTGTGGCAGCAAACTCTTCTCCATATGTCGAACACTACTGCAATCCAAAAGAGAATTTACTTGGGAAGTAGAAATTGTTAGCTTGTTAAGACTCACACTGTGTGGCATATTGCTGTTGGTCTTTAATATCACATGCACGTAACCCCAGTTCTTGCCAAGAGATTTGTGAGAGACCAGTGGATCTCAAGTGGATATTTGAGTTTCAGGGTCCAAAATGAGTTAGTGGTATTATAGTATCCACAGCAAGGACAAAATGGAAGCTGGGACCTACTGCTCATGAAGAACAAGATATGTTGTTAAGCCAGGATCTTTCCAGTAGGAGATCTACTGCCCCACAACATTTTTCAGTGTTGCTCTTCTCAGTTAGGAGGGAGTGATTTTTATTTCTCTTGCTTGGTGTAGGCTACCATGATGGGCACATTGTGATCCGGTGGTTCTGGGCAGCTGTGGAGAGGTTCAACAACGAGCAGAGGCTGCGATTGTTGCAGTTCGTCACGGGAACGTCGAGTGTGCCCTACGAGGGCTTTGCCGCTCTCCGAGGGAGCAACGGCCTGCGGCGCTTCTGCATAGAAAAATGGGGCAAAATCACCTCCCTCCCAAGGTACGTCCCAACCAGGACTTTGTGCCAGAATTGCTGTTAGAAACAGAGGCCTAGTACTTTGTTCTATCTCTCTGTCAATTAATGAATACAGTAAGGACAAGTAAAAAAAAAACAACAACAACAAAGAGACAATGATCAGTTTGTTGTTCTGTAATTATGTTCAGAGAAAAGTGTTTTCTTTTGCTGTCTTTTTGATTTGTAGGCTCAATTCAAACTATTTGAAATCTTTGGAAATGGTTAAGATTAAGATTTCCATAGGTTCAAAGCTAGTTCTCTTATTTTGATTCTGGAACAGATTCAGATCAACAGGAGCTTGTCAACTGATTCTGTTCCCTTTACTTTCAAAGTGCTAGCAAAAATACTTGTGAATTTACAGAGACATGAAAGCCAAAATCTGTCTCTGAGTTTTGGCTGGAGACCTGAGTGTAATCCCTTCATTTATTCTGATGGTTCCACTTTTTCGTAATGAAGAAGCTTAGTGAGAGAACTTCACTGATAATATCCAATTTGTTGCATCTAGTTCAGTCAGCCAGCTAGGAGCAAATGAGCTATAATGTCATACAGAATCAACAGACTTGGCAATGATTCCCAAAGGAGGGGTCATCTTCCTTTTCAGAACAAAGGGGCAGGGGCACAAAGGGGTGGACTTGCCTCAGGCCACCCAAGAGAGTGATGGCACAGCCACTGATGGTTTCAGCTATGAGTTCTGCTTTACCTCTTTATGGGTGACCAGCACTCATCCTTCCTTACTGAAGTGAGTCACCTTTCTTGAATGTCCTGACAGTTGCCTGAGGCTCTGCCCCACTGGGATTACAGAACATTTCAGTGCCTCTGAGATACTTTTGCTACAGTGGCCCTTTTATATCACATTTGCCCTCCGAAGGATGCTTTCTTCCTGCTCTTATCATTTGCTTTCAGCTACACTGCAAAGGAGGCCGCTTTTATGGCACAGAGCAAAAATTTCATTGCATAGACCTTGCAGATATAGTCAGACATTCAATTAACCAAGGGTCTGGTCCAGTTTTCTCATTACTCACTCTCTATGTTGTTTGCCCAGAAACGTACCATAAGACATGGACTTGAGCAAACACCTGAGTCCTCTGGAGAGGTAAAGTCCAAATCTGGTCACCCTCTGAGTCCAAGTCTGCTCTAGTTCATGTTTATGCAGTGGAAGATGCAGAAACTGGAGCCAAGGCACTGTATCAGAAGGCATTCAAAGCTGATATCTTAGGTGGACTCCCTCTAAAGTCAGGAAATGGGAGTGTTTTCAAGGAACAGTTCATCTCACCTGAACACAGACTTTTGAAATAGCTCAGCTGAGTCACAACTGGTACATTTTGGTTTATGTCCATCCACCATAAGGACATTACGGAGATTATATGGAGAGCTGGAGCCTGCATGAAGCTAGATGTGGGCACTAAGATTTAAAACAAGATGAAAACATATAAGGTCAGTGAGATGACTCATGCCATCTGAGCTCCAGCCAGCAATGTGGTAAGAAAGCCTGAGAGCAACAGTTTGCTAGTTGTAGTCCAGATCCTCCTTTTGCAGTATATTTATATAGTCAGGTTCTATGTAAGGGTTTTGGAGCTTACTGAGGACATTCCTGCCTGCAGATAGTCAGTAACCAGCAGTCACAGACTCTGGAGCATTTCTGCAGAGCTCTCTTAGCACTCCTTCTGGGGTGCAAAGGGATGAGAGGGGAGGGTGAACCTTGGTGCATGCATAGAAAATGCCCTGGCCTGACCCGTCAAGTTCTGAAAAGGTAATTGGCCCCTTTCTGCTCTGTTTAACTTTCTTTGTGAACCTAGGCACTACTTCTGACTCAGATTCAGTTAGCCTCGAGATTTTATGTTTGTCTGTTGATCTCTGAATGAGTTGCTCTCCCTGACAGAGGCCTCCTTTCCAGGTGAAAGTTGGTAGCACTTGTTAGAAGTCTTGAAGCTCTGCATTCATTTTAGCCAGGGGAAAAATAAAAAAAAAACTTGCTCATGGGAAATAAACACAGCTCGATCACCATGAATTATTGCCTGCATTCTTATAAAATTATGGGATGCTGCCAAGTATACACAGTGCTAAGAAATGCATAAAACACACAGGCTGAACCTGGAGCTTCCCTAAATCCTTAGTTAAGCAACTAAATGAGTATTATTTAAAACTTGTATTTTAAATACCTGATTATGGTCTGCCCATGTTTATTTAGATTTATTTACGTACTTAAGACTTACAGGCTAAAAAAAGTCTTATGTCATATCCTGTCAGCCTTTTAACCCTGTGACATGAGTGTAACTAACTTTACAATAAACCACAACAAATTCCCTTTTCACTTTAACTGCTGTACAAAATGTAGAGAACTTTTAGCTGTATCAGGAGAATCCATGACTCCTTTGTTCCCTTACTTCTGCTCCAGATGGCTGAGGTAGTTTGGCAAATATCCCTTACACTTGGGCAATGGAGCATGCAACTACCATTTGCTTATAGTGAGCAGAGATGTGCTAACACCTAAACTACATAGGTTAGTACTGTTTGCACTTGCAACAGCAACATGGCAAGGCCAGAAAAAAGGCATGGTGTAAATTTCTAAAATGAAACACTTTTCAAATAGTAGCCATAATACATGACACTTGGAGTGCTTCTTGAAAGCACTGAGGGTATGCAAGACTTTTTCAGGAAGGTTGAACATCCAGTTACTTCATTTTAAGTTGGTGAATTTGTTCATTAGTACCAGTTCCCTGCATGAACAGGGTAATTGTGGTGTAATATGTTCATCTAAGACTAAGAAGAGTGAGATTACACCACTATTTTATTTCTGGAGTGTGCACATGTGCCAGACACATTTTTCCTATCTGTATTTACTTTTGAGATCACATATGTTAGAAAGTTGAGGCACCATACAGCTCAGAGATGCTCCTCTAATCCTAGGTTTTCAGACAATGACCCTAAAGCAGGTTCCAAAGAGACTGCCAGCTTTGCAGATATGTCAGTGTAAATCTGCATCACGGGTTCTTCCAAACCGGTATAACTTGTCATATAAAATAGCAGGTTCAATCACTTGTTCATCAAGGTTGAGTTTTACTCTTCCTATATAATATGGAAAGCTTTGTCCCAAAATGAAGGTGTTACACATTTAACTGGTTGCCAGAGTGGAGATGGTTGGAGAATTTTTGCAGCTACAGCCTCTTCTGAAGCAGGAATCCTCTCTTCACTTCTTCTGTGTCATGTAGGTTTGTAAATGGAATCAGTTTTAGTGGTAGTTCTACAAGGATGGATTCTTGTTCCCCACCAAACATTAATGAAAAGCCACTGGTTTTCTAGCTGGAATAGCAGAGCTTCATTTGGTACCGTGGGAGCAGAACTCCTGGCCCTAGACTGACTGAAGAACTAGCAGTGCTTTCTACTATAAGAGGCAACCATTCAGTCTTCTTAAATCCTCAGCTGCAAAAAGTATTTGGTGCCTACAAACGCCACTGTCCCATCTTGTGATTGCACTCCTCACCTGGCAAAAACTCCTGCCAGCTCCAAGATTATGTCTGTTTGAGTATCAAGTAAGTAAGGACCTCAGTGTGTATCCCAGGGATTCAAATAATCACATTTGACGCAATGAGGTCACTTTCCCCAACAGTGCTGAGCTGCAACTCCCCTTTCATCAGAAGAGATTTTCATTCAGCAGTGTAGTGTGTGTTATGCATGATGCAGATTACCAGTGCTAGTAAATACCTGATCTTTTGTAAGAGAATTGTGTTCTTCTCTGTTGGATGATAAGCATTTAATCACCACAGAATCCCAACTTTATTCTCATAATTTCCTTCTTCACCAAGGGACTGAGTGCATGGACTTTGCTGTCTCTTACCATCCATCTTCTCTTTCCTCTTCAATACAACAGCAGTATTAGCTGCAAATCTACATTCATCTGTTTAACACTGATTCCCAGACAGCATGTACGTGTTCCCTCTTACAGGCAAAAGGAACAAAAGCTACTACTTGTGGGTTCTCAGATTGATCAAGGGGGGTTTGTGGGCTTATTTAACGAAAGCAAGGTGAAAAGGAGAACTGCCCAGTTTCTGCCTGGCAGGCATGATTATGTTAGAATGTAGGCCTTACTTTAGCAGATAGTTTCAAGGTATAATTAAGATAGCAGGGGGTTCTGTGCCCAGTTTTACTGCCTTTGGGTTCTCATCTTTATGGGGAATAAAAGAAGTGACAAAGAAAAGAAGAATGCAAAAATCTTAAAAGCTTATAATTTTTAGAAAGAATTCTTAGAAGAAAAGAAATATCATAGCACTGTGAACAATGAGCAAGATGAAAGGTTCAAGCCCACCAAAACTATATTAAGCAATAAAGACAGACTGCCAGGAAGAATGAAATTTTAAGTGGTCCATTTACTGCCTAACTTACTGGAGGATGAGGGTATATGAGGGTCAGAGTTGGTTTACATTACTTTATCTTGCATTTTCTTCTGGAGAAGCCAGAATCCTTCCCATAAAAGCTGTTACCAATGTAATTCTTATTCCAGGCCTCACATTCCCTGAACACCATCTCAGATGTCAGCAGGCTTATGTGGTAGGAGGCTTAAATCAAGGGAAGAAATATTTTCTCTTTGCTGTGCTCTTGCACTACTGATGTGATGTTTTCACTCCAGTGGCAAGTGTTCCCTGGATTATGCTCACTATAGTCACTCTCACTGGGATCAGTAGTAAGAGGCCAACATAATTCAGGAGGAATTTACCCCTTTGGAGGATGAAGCACAGTTAGACAACAGTGGGCATTATGGAAAGTATCACTGATTCTTAATTGCCCTGTGTACTGCAGTATCACACAATATATGATAAAAACCGGACAGTTTTGCACATAATTATCTTTATTTAAGACTGAGTGGGCTTCACAGGCATCACTGGAGTTGCAGTAGATCCACATTTGTTTCACAAACCAGAATATGAACTCAGGTTTTGCCCTTGGCAATCTTTTGTGGTTTGCACCAAAAGTAGGTAGAAGTGTAAACTTTACCTGGATAGCGCTTCTGAAATGCTCTTTTCATTTCAAATTTGATGACCTTTCTTTGAAGTGCAAGGATTTTTTTCTGTGAAGTTGTTAAGCTGGAGAACACAAGAGTGTTGTTTAGCAAAATGTTTCAATGTTTCTAGATATGTTAACAATTTTTTCCTTTCTTTGTTCCCCACAATAAATTCCTTGAGACGTTCTGTAGAAGAGCCCACATCTGTAAACATCATAGTAAGAAAAGGAATGTATCTTTTTTCTGAGTTTGGCTAGGTCAAGGATGTCTAAAAGTCAACAGCATTGCAAGGTTGTTTCATAACCAGTGTGAAACTAGATGGATAATGATCAGTCAAGAAAGTAAACACCAGAGTCAGTGGCTGTGGATATGTCTGTACCACACAAGAGGATGCACAGCAGCAATGTCTGAGATGCTGTTGTCTCAAACAGTTAAAGGTGCCATGGTTGAGTGCCATACAGAGGTCTGGTTCTGCAAAACTACTTTAGAAGAACTCACACCTGAACCATCATGGCTGTGCCACTTCCAATTCTGGAGCCCAGCAGCTGAGCTCCTCAAGACTGGCTATCTCTGCATGGGGCTGTCTTGCCTGTGATAACCATGTTCTGAATGGACTATGAGAATGCTGTTGATTAACTCCCAGTGGTTGATAGTATTGCCAATGGATTGTAGAAACAACTTATGTTGCCAAAGATTGTTGAGATGAACAATAAATACTGCAGGGCTACTCATGGATAATACACATGAGCTGCCATGTTTAATTTCAAGAGATGAATTAAATAACAGCTTTATTAATGTTTGTTTTTCACTAACTCAGGCATTCCAAGCTCATTTCCACAAATTCTGTGTTTATTGTATTCTCTTCTGAGACTAACCAGCTACCAAATCTTCATTCAGAAGGGGTAAAAGGATGGTAGAAGCTCTCCTAATTGAAATTCTGTAATGCAGTGACGATTACGTGCCTCTGGCTATTTCAGTTGCCTGATTGCTTTTAAAGATTCACCACTGGTGCTTGATAAAGCTCTTCCTCTGAATCTACAGGTCTCAGGCCAGCCCATCTGCTAGCATTACGTCTTTCCCACTTTGTGGGTGGCCTAAGAGATGACTAGCATGGCTTTGTGTAATTTTCTCCAAGATAGCTCTGCTGCTTCAGTGTAAGAGAAGTAGGATTTAGTTAAAGTTTGAGATAGAAGGGCTCAAAGTAAAACAACTCCATGGCTTCTAAAAATACTAGGGGCCAGAAGCTCAGACATTGTTAGCCAATGAGGCTACATTTCCTTCTGTAAAGTTTTGTCAATTCACATTTATCCCAGTGAGCAAGAGGAAATAGAAATATTGCTATCATCATGTAAAACTCTAAAAGCTGACTGAAAAAAAACTGAAACATTTTTACTGAAAATGTGCCCCTCCCACGTCCATTTGTTGAATTCAGCAGTTGGGGCTGAATTGTTGGGGCAGGAACTGTTTCTTTACTCCATATTTGTATAGCACCTCCCACAGTGAAGTGCTGTCTGCCTCTGGGTCTAATTGCTGCTGCCAGAAAAGCTGCAACAGGGAGAAGGAACGCATGGAACCCATTCCATGGCTTTTTTTGAAGGTGCTGCCAATGTAAATAGAAGGTTAGGTAAATGTAATGGTAAAACTGGGGAAAGAGATGGTCATCAAGTTTGCAGCTTGCTCTGCACAGAATATTTTTCTTTTGTCTTGGGTACTACAAATAAATAACATTTGAAGGCCAGGCTTGCAGCAGATGGCCAACAGCTGACTTACTGAATATTTTCAGCAGCCTTCCTTCCTCAGTTAGCAGATCCCTGAATGGTCTTTTAGCAGTCAGGCCTGCCTCACTGCAAACACACACTCAGTCCATTCTGTCACTGTATTCCATCACACTGTGTTTGTCCACTGCTGCAAAGCTTATTGACAGCTCATGTTGGATGTACAGATGAGTGCCATTCTGTTAAAAAATCTTGAAGCAACCAAAATTATGGTAATGAACTTCTCTATCAGGCCCTAAATCCCAGCTCCTCAGTGACCTCTCTCCAGCATTCTTCTCCATCAAGATCCATACAAGATCCCTGCAACATCCAAAGGAGGAATATCAGATGTTATGTTGATACTTAGCTTGTGTCTTCTGTATAACATATTCATGTGTATGTGCACATACATTTCAGTACCTCATATTTTGGTGGAATTAAAAAGTTTTACTTTGAGTGAACTTGAATGTCTTGAGTCTCAGTAGAAACTAGTTTTTTTCAATTCTTATTTTCTCAAGTTTCTAAGATTCAGCCTAACATGTAGCATATTTTCCTTTTGCAGGGCACACACATGTTTCAACCGTTTGGATCTTCCACCTTACCCCTCATATTCTATGCTGTATGAAAAGCTGCTGACAGCTGTTGAAGAAACTAGCACCTTTGGACTTGAATGAGGGGGTTCAGGCACTTCTGGTGTTTTTATGGCTGATGATGTCACCTTTCCTGTCCACCGTCATTTGATCTTGGTTTCCCATGTTTTTATTTTTGAAAACAAAACAAAAATCAAGATTAACAAAAGCCGTGCATGAAGAACTGCCACCCTCTATGATCTAACCTTCATGCTTTCATCCTCTGTTTCCAATGGACTGCTAGTCTGTATGCAATAGAAAAACAACTGTCTCAAGGTTTCTGTATATCTCTACATACCTCCATTAATAACAATGAAAATACAAATGCAAGTTACACTACACTTGACCAAATGTTAATAAATGTTTACTTCCACCTACGTTGATTAAAAAATAAAAAAAAACCTTCATCAAGCATTCCAAGCTTTTATATACCCATATCTTCTAAATCAATTCATAGCCCATCATACTTCTTAATTGTTGAATCCAGTACTAGGAGCTGGTCAAATATGTCATCATTCATCCCTATTTTCCCTGTATGTATTGTCCATCTGAAAGACACCTATGAGCAAAACTGAAATTTTTATATATGAACTCATGATCCACATCAGTTGTATCAGCTGGAACTGGCCCAGATACATGGTGCAGATAAGACCTTCAAAAAGTAAAAAAAAACCACCACCAACCTGTAATGCAATACAAAGCATAACGGCGATTGTTATGATTGTTGCTTGCCAGTACTGGAGAGAACTCGCACTTCAGAGCTATCGGGAGGGGCATCTCCATTGTAATGTTTACCACACAAGAAGCACAAGGTTGTGCACACTCAAGAAGGATGTTTTATTATGTAGCATAAAGGACAAGGCTCCCTTACCTTAGTATTGTATATGACAAGGAAAAGGGGAAGTAAGAAGAATGTTCTACTCTTATGAATACCCTTGGGTTCTGTTTACCAGATCTTTGTTTTCTGATGTTTAAAATGTTTGTTTCCAAATGACAAGTCTAGACAATCCCATCCCCTGTGTCAGAAGCCATTTACTTTGTTAGGTTGGGCTAACCCATGGTTGCTGGGGGCGGTTGTCAGTTCTGTTGTTTCTCTTTTCTTGTTCAGTGGAATAGTCCATATCCTCAAGAGTGATTGGTTGTAGACAGAATGTTTTTGTCTGGGATCTGTCAAATGAGAAGCTGCAGTGAATGAAGGTGTTTGTCAGGTATGAAGGGAGCTGTAATTCTCTGGGTGTTAAGATTTTGGTGTACATCCTCTTGGAGGAAGCCCAAAGGCCCTCCAGTCATTCTATGTACCACTAAACTAAAGATCTTGCTCTTGTTACTGCAGACATAACCCTCTTCTGTTTGGTGTACTTTCCAACTCTGAATCCGGGGGGAAAAAAGGAAAACAGCAGTAGGCTTGTCTTTGGATGGATTTTGCTGAGGCTGTTACCGTCAAACTACTGCTCTGATTACATTCTAGTTATTAATCTTTGCTGCCCTTGTTTTCCAAGACTAATCTCAGATTGAAAGTGTTTGTCTTAACTGGGAAATGGAAATACAAAGTATCTTCTGACACTAAATATGTTAGAGGATGCAAGAAATGCAAAGTGACAGATTTGTGAAGGTACGTGAGAAGGTAACACCATAGTGTTCAGCAGCTTGTATGAAGTACAACACTCCCTCGAGGGCTTGTTACTGGTAGTTTTGTGTTAGTTATGCTTTGGATCACTGTAAAATCAGGAGACCATTTCAAGATCTAACACAGCCATTTCATCTTAAGTTTTTTCTCCAGAGGAAAAAAAATTGGACTCTGCATTCTCGCATATTTCTGTGGTGGTTATACAGAACCTTATGACATTTGAAAAATTGTGTTCTGAGAGTTTTAGATCTTTCTCCTGCTTTTATTCTTAGGTCAGTAGGTATTTGAAAGGTTATGGACCCAAAAATATATTTCTAAGCAAAGAAATTTTTTTTAATTTTTTTTTTTTTTTTTTTTACTGGTACATTAAAATCTGAAATACTTAAATTGCCCCTTCATTCGATTTCTGTGGCATTTCAGCAACTTTTATGCTAATTTACTGTATGGCTTTTACTGAGAATCTATGTTTTAGTGTGTTGTTGTTGTTTAATACAGTTGCAGAGGCTGCAGCTACAGGCCAGCTTCATTGTACCCCACACTGAAAATGATGTTTAGTGTTTCCATAAATGAGCTCTCAGGCATTGATTCTATGTGACCAGCTCACTGCACAGGAGAGATGGAAAAATTAATGTTTTTCTTAGAGCATCTGTTAAATGTCCACATGAATTTCATCAGGACAAGTCACACCAGGAACATGAAATCTTCCAATGTATGTAATTCCTGCCTCTTCACCTCTTGGCCCCCAAATCCAGTGATTCTTGTATGGTTCCTAATTTATTCCTGATGATGTTATAAAGTTACCTGTACTATGTCAAATGTTGGATGTCTTCCAACATTAGAAGAAAGAGAAGCATCCAACTGGTTGGTCCATGTTTGGCCAAGGAAAATAAAGAGCTGTCTCAATAACATAGTAAAAAAGTGGGGGGAAAAAATCAATCTTTACAACACTGTATAGTTAATTTTTTTTAAGTGTTTTAAAACTATATTTTATTACAAAAAAGTGAAACTATTTTTTGTAGCATAATAAAAGATGTTTGTATTTCAGAGACAGCATCAAGCTCCACTAAATGAAATACAGAAGGCTTTCTCCTGAAATTCTTCTTCACAACACTTTCTGGCACTCATCACACACTAAACTAGATTATGTTTGGCAGATGCCATCTTAAGCACCTTGTGTGTTGCTCCTCTGAGAAACACAGAGCATAGCCAGCTACTTCCCATCAAAATCCTTGATCCAAGTTGTCTTTCAAGCACACAGCCTAATATTTTTTAAAAGCTGCTTTCTAAGTTGACAAAGTCATGCAGATTTCCTTGAAAGTTTTTTTTTTTGATCTAAGGCCAGGAATAGAGATGGTTGACTGTTTTCATAAAGCAAAGTGAAAGAAAATGCCATGTGTGGCTTTTCCTGCATTCTGCCATTCCAGGCCTATCCCTCTCTCTTCCCAAATGCCCCACCCCAATAGGTTTTCAAACTCCTACATTATCTTTCTGATATCCGGATCAGCGTTTCACAGTGTTTCTCCGTTCCTTGTGTCATGCCATGGGCAGAATCCAGTCTCAGCCTGGAGTGAGGGGGAAGCCGTGCATCTGCAGAGTCAGAGTGAGGCAGTGAATGGTGCTCACAGGAGAGAGGGAGGAACCTACCCCCCTCAGCCTGTTATTCAACCTGCCCATTATGCAATTAATTGACTTTGTTGCTGTTGTGGTGCATATGCAAGACATACCCTTCCTAGTTCATCTGTTGATTCAAGTGCTGCCACTCCCCAGGTCTGCATCTTCATTTGTAAAACACTGACTGCTGATTACAGAAATTATGGTTTCATTGTTTCCCACAGGAAAGACTAAAAGATATTCCATAGAGCAGATTTACAGTGAAATAATCTTTTCAGCTCTTCTACCTGGTGGTGGCTTGATTAAGATACAATATCAGCATCATTAGATTTTTAAAATGCGAGTGAAAATGGAAAAGCCAATCTGACAGCTTTCATGAATTCTAGTTTTTGATTGGAGCAATGAATGCTGGCAATGGTTTCAGAGGGCCCATACATTTTTGAAAATTATTGTCATGATGGTATTAATGATAAAGGGAGGGAAGGGGGTATTTCTGGTTTTGAAATCCTGTTAGCATTAATCTGGAGATAAGAGAATGGAAGTAGGCATTTTAAATCATCAGTAGGTCTTCCAGCTTGAAGTAGTCTCACTGACTGTTCAACCACATGAGCAATGCAGGATTTGATCCAGTACAAACATCTGTATCTTAGTGTTAACAGTGTCAGGTCTAAACATTATAAATGCTGTCTCTTCAGTCTGCAGTAAGTTACATAAGTGTTCAGTTTCAGTCTGTGCATATTCAAAACTTGACTTTTATGTTCCAGAGAGGTCCATGGCTATCACAAGGCAAGAAGTGAGTGGTCCAAACTACATCTAATGTCTAATGGAGAAATCATGAGTTTTGTACAGGTCTGACACAGGGGAATTTTTACACCCAGTTTGCTCAAGTGCCCATGAACTTTTGAATGAACTGTAGCTGAGGTTTGAGCTTGTAGTCTAGTCTGAGAGATGGCCTGTGGGAAGGGGAGTGTTTGTTGGGATTGTGTTTTGTTGTTTGAGTTTCACTGTAACAAATTGTTGACATACCTCTAGTTGGAAACAATAGCATACTGAATTTGAACATGAAAATCAAAACTGAAATAAGCTAAAATATAAATGCGCAGGGGACAGGTTAAACTCGTCCTTCACTGTTAATCCTTTGACAGTCCATGGAATTCCAGAAGAAAAAATTTGACTGGAGATCTGTTTAATTTCTGTTGAAATTATATTTGCCCTGTCTCCATAGTAATATTAATAGGGATTCCCAGTCAAGATTAAACGCTTTCAGTCCAATGCAGACCAACAGATCTTTCTACAACAAATGCGGTGCTTTTTTATTATTCTTGCTGTACCTCAGTGTTTATTTTGAAAAGATAAAACTACTGCAATACACTAAATCTGGGATAGGTTTTCCAGTTATCACAAGGTCCAAAAGATTGGATTGTTACTTTCTCACTAGTGACTCATGTAGTTCTTTTGTTCCAGTAGAAAAACAGATTCCTGTAGATAGTAGATACTAGGTATAGTAAATATTGTACCATTAGCCAAATTCCCTGCAGCTTCCGATTTATCTAACGGAAATGTCTGTTACGGTTTTTGTTAAAGACTACATAAAGTCAGTGGCAGGAAAGGTCCTCATTATTGGACTGATTTTGCTTTTATTGACAGAAAAATGTCACATGATACTCAGGCTGTGCTTTCTATTCAACCATATCACTATGGAGGAATGTCAATAAAATCACTTTGTTATGGCATTGTGTGGACTGTCTATTACAAATAAACTATTTCATAGAGGGTGGAAACTGGCATTGTCAAAGCCCACTAATTGCAGAAATTGCAGTTTCAGGATCATGTCTTTTCCCACTATTGTATTCAGGCCCTTCCACTGCTTTTCATCAATTTTTCAGGGCACGTGTCTAAAACTTGGGGTTCTCTAAATAGGTTTGTATGACCAGAGCCTCCATGCTCTCTTGCCTTGAGAGCATGGGAGCTTATTCTTCGCTATAGGATATGTCTGGTCAAACAGAGGGACAAAAGCAGTGTGTATGCTACATACACATCCTTTGCTTCTAAGTATAATTACTGCATTATAGAGGTGAAATGCAACTGCAAGGGTGATTTCTTAATAGCATATGCTGGGTCTGCACTGTGTTGACAGCAAATACACAGCGAGGTGTCCCAGCATCTCAGTATGTCACACCCATTTCTCCCCTGCTCGTCACTGTAATATCTCTGGCGTGTTTCATTAACACATTCCAGGATAGATTACCACGCCTCAGATATACTGTCAGCAGACACCTTCCTCACCATACCTGTTTTCTTACATAAATGGCACCCCATGAGGGATTGTGGTACTATAGGGAGGATGGGAAAGCTTAAATATGAGGCACTGTTTCTATAGGGAATAATATAAATCCATGGAAGATACTCCAACAGAAGTGGTAAGCATATCTTGCACAAGATAAATCAGTAACAAGTGTGAACCTGTGTGACTCTGAGAACTCCTGAGAGCTCCTCTGGAGCCAGCACTGCATTTCACTCCATATGGAGGAGCACAGGTGCACGAGGCCCAGTGCTGGCTCTCCTTCAGCAGGGATGGTGGTGCTGGTGGCAAGAGTAGCACCCATCCAAGCACATGCTCAAGAAATCCAGGTGTCATAGCTCAGCCTTTATTCATATCCTGTGTGTGTGATTGTGCACGGGTGTGAGGAAGAAGTGAGAGAGAGGGCATTTTGGCACTAAGCTGGATTTCTATGCATTGCACACATCTAAAGGAAGGGAAAATCCATATTGATTAAAAAGCAGCGAGATGAGCTGCTGATCATTAGGGTGCATCAGAGGTGTCAGATTCTGCAGCAGTGATCTGTGTATGTGGCTGGAACGTTGCCTTTTGCCAGAACCCATTCCATGATTCCATTCAAAATCTGGGAACCCATGGATACTATGAACCCATTCAAAGCCAAGTTGGATACAGTCTTAAGAAATCTGATCTAGTGGGAGGTGTTCCTGCCCGTGGCAGAGAGGGTTGGGACCAGTTGGTCTTTAAGGTCTATTCCAACCCCTTAGCATTCTATGATTCTATGACAAATAACTGATTTTTGGTTCAAATAGAGCAGCAGTCCAAGTGGTGCCTCCATGGGTACATCCAGCATCTTTCTTGGCATGCTAGCAAAACTGTAATACTTCTGTAGGATATTAAAGATCAATAACAATCTTTTCATGCCCTGTGGTGGCAGTGTCATAGTTTTTTCTACAAAATACAATAAATCCACCTGCAGCCTGTTGTTCATCCGTGTACAAGAGGCCAAAGAGAGCAAAGGCACAAAGGATCTGCTGTGTCTCCTCTAATCATAAATCCTCCTTGAGCTGCAAAGACACTTTTTTACTATTTTTTAAATTTAATTCTGGTAAACTTGAAAATCATTTTTGACTGAAAATACCTTTCATGGATCAATCAAGATGAAACATGTGTGGCTGTGTTTAGTTCCTACTCTCTTGAAACTAAATTTAGAAGAAAAATATCCACTGTATTATTCTACCTGAAATACAAGCCCTGGTTCTTATTTGTGTTATGCTTTGAAGTAAGGCAGATTTATATTGTTTTAACTGAGGTGTAAATGAAGCTCATCCCCACAATGCTGTGTTACAGCTCTTTGAGATTGGATAGAATAGAAGTCACTGGAACACACAAACAGTGCAAGTAATGGGGTTTTCTTTCCCTGAACTTCTGGCATGTAGGATTTAATATAATTAATTAACTGCTATGGTACGTGAAAATAATGGGGCTGCATGGGGGAGTTTTCTGTGCCAATCATAAGCAATAGTAACACTGAGGTAACTTGCCCTTCCTTTTGTGAAGAGTAATACACTTCAGGAACATTTTAATTTTTGATTTTTTCAATATGAAACTAGAAGACTGGTTTGGGTTATCTTTGTTTCCCACTTACAAAATAAACCAGTTCTAAGGAAAAAGTAATTCTGTAAATACTCTGCAGTTTGAAAATGTGTCCAGTCAGTTTCAAAATGGACCACAGACAAGAACTGTAAAAGTGTTGTTGGATGTGATTTCCTAATGCTGGTTTTCCAAGATCAAACCAGCATACAAAAATAAACTGCATATGCTCCAGTTTTTCTGTTTTCAGCACTTCATGTGCTTTAGTCTGTAGACAAAGCAATACAGGTTCCCTACCAGCGTGCCACATGGAGTCACCATGTTTAGGTAACAGCTTTTCAGAAATGCAGCTGGGGCAGCACAGGAATCTGCTTAGGAGCTTTGTTACTAGCTGTGATTTGACTTCAGTACCTGTAAGGTATGTATTGGTACTGAAGTACGATCAGTGACTTTTCAAGAATGACTGAAATTAGTAATAGAGATTGCTATATAAGATTATACTTACAGTGTGTGGGGATATGTTTACTGACAGCTTTGGCATCTTTGGAAATGGAAAATAAGCTTCCCTGCTTTAGGCATGGAAGTTAACAGCATTAGTGACATGTGCATTGATTAGCAGAACTGGGACCTTAGAGTTTAACTCCTACTTCTACAGTATGTAAAGCCCCTGACATGACTTTTGAACACCATCATTGTGCTTCGGCAATGTCCTCCAAATGTACAAACTGAAACAGTTTGTGGGCTGGACACAGCCATAAAATAAATAGTGATGCATCTTGGATTTTGTAAAATACAGTCTACTAACTTTGTAAAAGGTGAATTTGTGTTTGGGACTGCCTGGCCACTGCAGAGCAGCTGTGAAATTGATCTGTGGAGCACCCAATGTAGTGCGTGGAGACCCATATGATGTGTTTTTCAACAGCTAAGTTAATATTATAATAACATATGTAAAATTCATAACCAAATGAGAATTTCTGCAAAATATGAACCTGTGGGAGTATTTGAAAAGGAATACTCCCTTTCAAATAGGGAGTAAGGAAGCACAAGTTTATTCATCTGTCTTAGAAATGATGAAATCAAAGCCTCTGAGGAAAAAGAGGAATAAATCTTATTGTAACATGAGCACCAGTTTATATTAAATCTCTCACAAATATAAAAATAATTCGGCAAGGTGGCAGTAATGATGCTTACTGCTGCCACTTAGTGGAGCCATGTCTTCCTCCCTTAAACTAGAAAAAAGATTAATAACACTTTTTGCTGCAGGTGGTAAGAAACATCCATTTGTACAGAAGTATAGGAGAGGGCTGGGTACTCAGAGTTCTTGTGTAAGTGCTGTTATGTGATGACAAGAGGCATTTTAGTACAGGAGCAAAGCCCCTGAGGTGAGGAACGTGTACTCTTCCTGTTGCCTCACAGATAAAACCACCACATCAAAAAATAAGTAGCTTCAATGCAGAATAACTAACTTCCGAATGGAATTTCAGCAACCAGCAGAAATTCCAGCCACAGAAGATCATGGTTCTCTACCAGTACAGAAGTTGAAATGATGAATTTAGCAATTCAAAATGGAAAATTATCTTACATTATATGTGCTGAGCTACCGATGGTGAGACTTCATATTTCTGTAACAAATTGACCATGATGATGTTGATGATGATTTCATGTGTCTCCTCTATCATGGATGAGCTGCCCGAATACATTTTTATTGGGAAGAGAAAACATCCTGTGATGATCAAGCTAGAGTCAGATTGATACAACTGAACAAAACTTATGTCACTATGCAACACTTTCGATCCACCTCTTCAGGACAGAATTGAAATCACTCCAGTAATTTAGAAATAGAAATCACTCCAGTGATTAGAATAGAAATCACTCCAGTGCATGCAGACATAAATTTAAAGGGACATTTTTTTTAACAGAATACCTGTGGTGATGTCTTTCACCTCACCTCTTGCTTCTTAGCTTGCAGGCCAAACACAGCTCATGAGAAGGAACTCCTTGGATTCTACTGCGGAAAAAAAAAATGTATCTTGAAACATAGAAGAGTTAATGTTATCTGCACCAGCAGAAATTAGTTTTTGCTATGCCATCTGAGTGCAATTGAACGTAGAGCAGCTAATAATATTTAAGTGATTGAACACAAATAGCCAAAGAACAGAGAAAAAGCATTTTCAGGTAACACATGAGAGGAGGTAATACATGAGAGAAACCAGCCTAGATCTGTCTGTTAGCTTTTCTCTAGATAAGCATTGTTCATATCCACGTGTGTTTCTCCCTGTGCAGAAAGCACAGATAAGATTATGCTGCAGAATTTAAAACTGAGTGCTGTTTTAGTGCACAGGTGAAACTGCAGTGAGTCATGAAACTTATATTTATCCTTTCTAGAGGGACAACTGAAATTAATACATCATGTATCAGCTCCACAATACTCTGGTACTACTAGGTAAAGCATCGTCTGTTCTATGGCTAGTGCAGAGCAAAGTGGGAAAAGATCCTGGAAGCAAACACAGCTTCACCAAGGGCAAATCCTGTCTGACCTACCCAGTGGCCTTCTATGATGGGCTGATTCCATCAGTGGGAAAAGGAGGAGCTACAGGTGTCTTTTATCTGGATTTCTGTAATGCCTTTAACATGGCACCCCACAACATCCTTCTCTCCAAACTGGAGAGGGATGGATTTGATGGGTAGACTGTTAGGTGGATAAGGAATTGGTTGGACAGTCACATTCAGAGGGTGGTGGTCAGTGACTCAGAGTCCCAATGGACATCTGTGACAAGTGATGTCACTCAGGAGCCCATATTGGAGCCTGTGCTATTTCATATCTTCGTTAATGACACAGACAAAGGGATGGAGGGCACCTACAGCAAATTTGCCAGTGACACCAAGCTGAGTGGTGCAGTTGCCACACCTGAGGGA